CGGCGGGGGCGGGGGTGGCTGGGATAAGGCCGGGGGCGGTCTTCTGCTCTTTGAAAAGCCGGTACGGAGCAAGCTCTGAGTGAGGTGAGAGAGTGTTCGGACCGGGGGTTCGCTCAGGAAAACAAAAGCTTGGAGTCTCCAGGTTTTCCAGCTGTCACCCGATCCGCATCCCCCACATATTGGCTCGTGTTCCTTGTCCCGCCCACAGCGGCAGTTCTCCGGAAGTTAACTTTGAATGCTACGGTGCAAACACCGACAGTCAGGCGCGCTATTTGTGATTATTACTCCATTCTACTCCGTACTCTAGAGACTCTGCCCGTCGTCGGTAAAGCGACTCCATGTTGGCATCCAGCAGTCGGCCTGATGCGGAGTTATCGCTGGTAGTTCTGGAAGCCGGGCGGTGAAGGATGCTGAGACCTGATGAAAGAGTCGATTGTTCTAGAGGCCCAATGACTCGATCTTCCCGCTCAACAGCTGTTCCAGCGATTCTATGACTAGTCATACCCGCCGTTAAGAGAATTACACCCCACAACCCATTTGACGATTTGTGGCCACCTCTAGTCAGACTGGAGACTCGGCAAGATTCCGCCTCCCCACGTGTATAGCAGAGCCTTTTCCGGACCTTGCCGTCGTTTTGGCAACCATCTAGAGACTAAGCCTAGTGTAGTCATCGCGTGCGTCGCTGGAAAATCTACGGCTGATTACCCTGCCCAATATCCCACCACTTCGCCCCTTGGTGAGCATCTTTCGGGTGTCAACCGGTGCGGGGCCGACTTCCGGACCATGACGATGTGCATTACCATCATGATCAGGTTTTCCTCGACTTTGTCGTTGCCCGCGCGGAGGTTACGGGGAAGAGGAGGGGTCTATCCAGGCCACCGGCGAGCAGAGTGCGAGGGCGACGAGGATATGGTGGACTGACGTTGCTGCCGACGATGAACAGGTAACATATAAAGAACGGCATGTAACCCCCAATCGATGGAATTTTAGGATCTTCAGCACAAGCCGCAAGTCAACAGCTCAAGGATCTCAAAATGTCCGCAGCTCTGTCTCTCTTCCTATCCGGTCTTCTGTTGACACCCTCAGTCAACGCTCAGGCGTATGACTCTGGTGACCGATCTGAAGATGCCTTCAGCTGGATTCAGCCGGTGAACACCACCATCCTCGGTCCGTACGGGGATTCTGAGCCAGTCTATCCTTCCCGTAAGTTTCTCGGTTCTCTAGGTTTGGTAACAGATTAACTAACTCAACGATGAAGCCAACATCACTGGTACCGGTTGGGAAGATGCCCTCGCCAAGGCAAGGGAGTTCGTCTCACAACTGACCATCGAGGAGAAGGCCGACATGGTCACTGGCCAACCCGGTCCCTGCGTCGGAAACATCGTCGCTATCCCTCGTCTTGGTTTCCAGGGCCTCTGCCTTCAGGATGGTCCCCTGTCCATCCGTGTTGCCGACTACGCCAGTGTCTTCTCCGCCGGTGTCTCTGCTGCAGCCACCTGGGATAAAGATATCCTCTACGAGAGAGGTCTTGCCATGGGCAAGGAGTTCAAGGCCAAGGGCGCCCACATTGCTCTCAGGTTTGTCCATCTCCGTACACTCATTATGGCCAACACCTACTGACCACTCAAAGCCCCGTCGCTGGACCCCTCGGCCGCAGTGCCTACTCCGGCAGAAACTGGGAGGGCTTCAGTCCCGACCCTTACCTGACTGGTGTCGCCATGGAAAAAACTATCACCGGTCACCAGGATGCTGGTGTCCAGGCTACTGCCAAGCACTGGATCCTCAACGAGCAGGAGACCATGCGCAACCCGACTTTCGACCCCAATGGTACCGCTACAGACATCGAGGAGCAGGCCCTCTCCTCCAACGTTGACGACAGAACCGCCCACGAGCTCTACATCTGGCCTTTCGCCAACGCTGTCAAGGCCAAGGCTTCTTCCTTCATGTGCTCTTACCAGCGTATCAACGGTTCCTATGGATGCCAGAACTCCAAGTCTCTGAACGGTCTTCTGAAGACTGAGCTTGGATTTGATGGCTACGTTATGTCCGACTGGGGTGCCACCCACACCGGTGTTGCTGCCATTGAGGCCGGTCTCGATATGGATATGCCTGGCGGCATTGGCAGGTACGGCATGGACTGGAAGTCTGGATCTTTCTTCGGCGGCAACGTCACTACTGCTGTCAACAACGGTACTCTCAACGTCGCCCGCGTTGATGACATGATCGTTCGCATTATGACTCCTTACTACTGGCTCAACCAGGACAAGGACTACCCCACCGTCGACCCCTCCTCTGGCGACCTCAACACCTTCTCCCCCAGATCCACCTGGGTTCGCGAGTTTAACCTCACCGGCGAGCGCAGCCGTGATGTTCGTGAGAACCACGGTGAGCTGATCCGCAAGCACGGCGCCGCCGCCGCTGTCCTCCTCAAGAACGAGAACAAGGCTCTTCCCCTCAAGGCTCCCAAGTCCATCGCTGTCTTTGGCAACGATGCTGGCGAGGACACTCAGGGATTCTACAACCAGGCTGACTTCGAGTACGGCACTCTCGTCGCTGGTGGTGGCTCCGGCACCGGTCGTCTGACCTACCTTGTCACCCCCCTTGAAGCCATCAAGGCTCGCGCTTCCAAGGATGGTGCCCTCGTCCAGCAGTGGCTCAACAACACCCTCATCATCAACTCCAATGTCACCGACCTCTGGGTTCCCAAGGCCCCCGAGGTCTGCCTCGTCTTCCTCAAGACCTGGGCCGAGGAGGCCGCTGACCGCCAGCACTTGAGCGTCGACTGGGACGGCAACGACGTCGTCGAGAGCGTCGCCAAGGACTGCAACAACACCATTGTCGTCACCCACTCTTCCGGCATCAACGACCTCCCCTGGGCCGACCACCCCAACGTCACCGCCATCCTCGCCGCCCACTTCCCTGGCCAGGAGTCCGGTAACTCCCTCGTCGACGTCCTCTACGGCGATGTCAACCCCTCCGCCAGACTCCCCTACACCATTGCCCTGAACGGCACCGACTACAACGCCCCTCCCACCACTGGCATCAACACCACCGGCTGGTACGATTGGCAGAGTTGGTTCGACGAGAAGCTCGAGATTGACTACCGCTACTTCGACGCCCACAACATCTCTGTCCGCTACGAGTTCGGCTTCGGTCTCAGCTACACCACCTTCGAGGTCGCCGATTTCGAGGCCAGCCCCGTCGAGCAGGACATCACCTCCGCCCCTGAGCAGCGCCCTGTCGAGCCCGGTGGAAACCCCGCCCTCTGGGAGACCATCTACAACGCTACCGTCTCCATCACCAACTCTGGCGATGTTGAGGGTGCCGCCGTTCCCCAGCTTTACGTCACCTTCCCCGACTCCACGCCCGCCGGCACTCCTCCCAAGCAGCTTCGCGGCTTCGAGAAGATTCCCCTTGCCGTCGGTGAGACCAAGAAGGTCGGTTTCGAGCTGATGCGTCGTGATCTCAGCTACTGGGACGTTGTCTCGCAGCAGTGGCTCATTCCCGAGGGCGAGTTCACTCTCAGCCTGGGATGGAGCAGCAGAGACTTAAAGGCTACCGCCCAGATTACCCCTGTGCAGGCGTAAGTCTTTGGTTGTTTAGTAAACATTTAAGTGGAGGATTGATACGATGGACGAATTATGACTCTGGATAATATTAGTAATGTCTGGATAACAGTAAAATAAATCTTTTTCACGTTCAAACAAGTCTGAATACCGACAGTGAGCATCCCATGACCATACCTTAGTTCGTAGCACCTGATCACTTGGAATGCGCGAACACCAATTTGGATGGTGTAACAGGCTGTGCTCAATAGACTTGATCTCAACATTGACTATACCATCTGGGACAACAAAATCGACCCCTCGTGCGAAGTTCTTTCTGTGTATGCCCCATCTTGAAGGACCAAAGCCTTGTTGTGCCTTGCGACTCAGCCATCCGCTGGTATTCTGCGACGGACACATCCAAAGACGAGTAATTTCCAAGAGCAGCCTGCATCTAGCGTGCTTTTGTAACTTTGCTGAGGAAATAAGTCTAGGACATTCGAGACTTGCCACTCGTACAGCCGATCTTTTTTCTTGAGCATCTCCTCTTCACGCGAGTAGCAAATGAGCTTCGCTGATTACCACGGCTGAGACGCAGCCAAGCTAGGAGGTGCTTCCAGCTGAACAACCTAGTGAGATTTGGGTGAGACAGAGTCCAATCCTACTGGCTGTGAACGCCCTACCAATCCTCTAGAGCCTGATAAAGATGTCGTCGACCCTTTACCCCATTTGCGTAGCACCCGTCTCGAGGTCAATTTCACATTTCTCATTCTGTTACTGTCCATCCTTCCGGAGTAGACCCTCCATTTTTCTGGATTGACCGACATCATTCTAGAGAGTCATCTTGTACCAGGAATGGCAGCAAATGTTGATGAAGTCAGAAGCCCTGGCGACGTGAGCGTTAACGAAACTAGGGCAGTGCCGACTACGGATGAGCAAGGTGATCATGATAGTATCCACGGACAATCGCTAAATAACGGGCCACAGAGACAAATCTCCCTAGGCAAGCGAGCGCCGACGGAACCAATACCGGAACGGACGTGGAAGTTCTACCTAGATGCCTCTTGGGCACTGTATTCGTACGAGAACATTCTTAGTCAACAAAATCAGTGCATCCGTTCACGACGAGGACACACAAAAACCCAATTTGAGGGTCGCGATGTACTTTCTACTTCTATCGAGATCTCGTGCGAAGGCAGATTTCCGTATCCAGCCGAATTTCGACAAGTGGCAAAGTTGGATGGAGGGCATGATGTCGAGACAGGGGGTGCTGGTCCATCAGCCGAACGTTTGCCTGAAGGAACTGCGGACTTGAGAACAAAAGGAATGATATTCAATACTCGTATGTTTGGTATATCTCGGACGTCTTTCACAGCTTCGATAGCCCGAGGCTTGCCGGTCTATGTGGTTTTGGGCATCTTTCGCCGCGGCCAACCCAACCCAATCGAAAGAATCATGTTCTGCCATCAGCCCAAAACTTTATTCAGAGAGCTCAGTCGAGAGATATTCCGCTTACGCGGTTTCTGGAAGACGTTCTTATCTCTCAGACACGTGAAAGGATTCCGGCTTTATAAGGTAAGTCACTTAGAGCCTGAAGCTCTTTCTTGGTTCCTAATCGACGACATCTACGCTGTAATGGACATTTCGCTAATCTCTTGTGTAGTGCAATGCGAAAGAAGGGACTCATGAACGTGTCGACCTTGACAACAACGGTGCTGCAGATCTGCAATTGCTCCTGCATACGTACAAGCAATGGCGAGTCCCTGAGCACATCGCACTTGCCTGGGGAGACTGGATGCACCAGGAACTCAATAACGACTCGCATGACGTACTCAACGGGAAGTACTCACTTGAAATCGTGTTGGGCTGGTCCGTCGCTAGGATTGCCGTCGTGATTCTTATACCAGTGGTGCTCAGCCTCGTCATCGGACTGTGGTTCAACTCAAAGGACTGGACGGACCTGACCACCATTCAGACCGCGTGGTCTATCGCATCCTACATTGTGACAGCAGGAGGTTGTAAGTATCCCATGTTCCGTATTGAAGGAGGTTCAAACAGAGCGCGCTGACTGACCGCTTCTAGTCGTTGCTGCTTTACTTGGTATTATGAGCAGTCTTGCCGATAAATAGGCTTCAATTGCACACCACATTATGTCCGATAAATTGCGAAAGATATCATCCCGGCTTACAGGGTCTATATCAATAGTACACCTGTATGGCTTTGATCATACCAAGGTACTGTAATTCGATACTATTGCTTCCCTTGCTAGTGGAATGTGATCGAATGCCTTTTATCTATCCGAAAGATCGAATTTCAAACATCGACGGTGGGCCCGGAGTGCATTCCATCAGTCTCGTTTCTCAATCTCATCAAGTACACCAGGGTGATGCATGTCTTGACTGTTTAGTACTCTAGCGGTGAACATGTTGATATGTTGTGGGGCGCAGGGCTAGACCAAACGAGACTGTGGCGTCGAACTTGAAAGCTGAAGCTTATCACCGTACTAAGTATGCTCGTTATCTAATGCGAGGCCGCGAACTTTTCAGCTCTCCATAATTTAGGTTAGGAACGTGTTCGAAATATGTAACACGGCCCAATTCGACTCAAGAGGGAAATACTGCGGCGGTGCGGCCAGCCCGAGACAAGCTGCGTTTGCTAGTTCGGCCTTCAAGCTTAGCTACGAGGCAGCTAGAGTTCAGCTTCCCGAAATCTTATACCGGGATTAGACTTAGTTAATAGAGTTATCCTCAGCAAATGTCCCCGACTGGACTCTCCTTTGGAACTGCGTCCCGCAGCTTCGGGTAACCCGGCCTGCTTCACGGAAACCCTCCAATCGTCTCTTGCCAGGATACAGTTCTCTAGGTTGCGAGGCGCGCAGACACGGAAACATCAGACGATGTCGTCACATCCACAGTTTTTGGACTTTCCGGCCAAGCAAACTGCCATCTTCGGCGCGGACTTCCCCACGCCCTTGGTAGTCTGGCGACTGATTGAAATAGCAGGTTGATTTCCACCTTCCAGCCAGCATCAGGAGCATTGACAGTTCATATCCTTAGCGACATTTTGGTTTGGTAGGAAAGATCTGTCATAAGACCGACAACATGACAGTTGTTGAGAACAACATCTTGGCAGAGAAGCCTTCGGGCGCTCCCGCTCCGGAACTTTATAGATCTGTGCCTAAGCGCAGGACTTTGGTAAGAAAATATCTCCGCTTGGACGTTGCGCAAAGCTCCCGTAAGCATTGTACTGATCCTTCTCAGGCACAAACCGCATCCTTTCATCTCAAGACTCTCTATCTATTCACTAGGAGCGATATCAAGACCGTACTAGCGCCTCAAATCATTTTCATCACAGCAGCTGTGTTCAGTCGGGAATCACTCACGACAGCAATCGATCAAACGAAATACTCCAATATTCAGAGACTACCCCTGGCAATCCTATGGATATGGCTCAACTTGATCGTGTGCGGTATCTCAAACCAGCGACTCGCGGACTCCATCGTCGAAGATGAGCATAACAAACCCTGGCGGCCACTGGCTGCGAAGCGGTTGACGCCCGCACAAGCACAACGACTTCTTCTCGGCATGATACCTCTCGTAGTTACAGTAAGCGCGTTTATGGGTGGATTCAAACCAACGATATCGATGATGACGCTTCTATGGATGTACAACGATCTCGACGGGAGCAGTATCAACATCTGGGCGCGCAACGCGATCAACACGGGCGGCATCATGTGTTTCAGTGCTGGGGCTTTAGAGGTCATCTCTGGCGGTGATCTCCTTCCGAAGGCATGGGCTTGGATTGGGGTGACCGGGGCCGTTATCGCTACCACAGTTCAAGCGCTGGATTTCCCGGATATGGAGGGAGATCAAGCTAGGGGCCGCAAAACCATTCCGCTGCTATATGGCGAAGGAATCGCTCGCGGAGGACTGGCCGTGATGGTCTTGCTGTGGTCTACTGCGTGTCCGCTGTTCTGGAACCTTCAACCGGCGGCCTGGGCCGCTCCTTTGGGAGTGGGAGCCTTGATGGCTGCATTGGTAATGATGAGGCGAAATAAGAAGTCCGACGATATTGTAGCTAAGCTGTGGTGCCTGTGGCTGGCTGTCTTATATGTCTTACCTCTTTTCGCAGCATAGATGTATGCGTTTAGCATACCTAGGACGATAGAGCACGTGTGCGAGGGTGTGTCTTATTGCCCAGAGTTCCGGAAAGAGCAGAATGGATAAATCCTACATCAGGCATGTTCAATCGAATGGGGAAAGAATCAACAGTATATTATATAACAACTGAGGAGGAGGTATGGAATGAATGCCTCATACGAAACCGCTCACCTTATCAAACATCATTGAGCTCATGTCACTCTCTGAAGGAGGCCCATAGTAGTCGGGCTGTACCAGAAGATACCTTACGAGTAAGAATAATGTACAGGCACTTACTTAATTTGGGCTGGAAAGTGCATGTTTGCGGTATGAAAAGGGAACATGATACGTACAACCAAGGAAGTAGTGCCTTCCCTTTAACAGAGCGTTGAGCTACCGTACAATCTTGGAACCCACTTGTCATCGCACCAAATTATCCATCTCAACGGAAACCTAATAGGCCCAATATTAAGAGAGTCTCCTACTTTTGGTGCTGACACATATTAAGTCGGAACACCCCCATTCGGCCACCCCCCCCATTCGGCCACCCTAAAAATCCCTCCTAGCCCCCCTAATTAAAATCTTACCCTTAATTTATAAACTACTATAATAATTATAATTATTATCTAAATAAATTTCTTTTTAGTATATATATTCTTTATTATATTATAATATTATATATTAAAAATAAAGTTATTTAAGTGCTCGAGGTAATTAGAAGTAGTATTTTAATTAAGAGGGCCTTAATTAAGTTCGGTATTTTAAAGAGTATATTTCGGAATTATTAACGAGGTTAATAAGCTAAGGTAATCGCTTTTATTAACTAATAAAAGCTACTTCCTTAGTAAAAAAATAAGCTAACTAAATAGGTTCGTATTTAGTATACTCTAAGAGTTATATTAATTTATAAATAAGTTAGAGAATTTACTAAATAAGTTCTATAAGCCTAGGGGGATAATTATTTTTTTAAAAAAAGATAAATAAATACTTTTTTAAAATAGAACCTATTTATTAAAGTTTAAAAAAGTCGTTTTATAAATTTAAAGCGTATTAATAAAGTATTTATTAAAATAATTAGGCCCTAGTTCTAATTATTTAATATTTTAAAAATTAAGAATATTAAATAAGTTAATAAATATAATATAAATAAGATTAGTATTTTTAAGGGTAAGGGATTTAATAAGCTAGTTTTAGGTATAGTTAAGACTAACGTAGTAAAAAAAAAAAGCCTAAATTACGTTCTTAGATCTTTATTATTAAGTATATCTTTATTAATAATAAAGTTATTAAATTACTATTAATTTATAAAAAAAAGTCGGTTTAATAATAGTAATTCCCTCTTAATTTTAAAAATCTTAATAATTAGGAGTTTATAATAATAAATAATAAGTAGACTATAAACTAAACTACCCTTATATAATTAAAAATAGTTTTTTTATTATAAACTAAGCCCCCCTTAACTAAGGGACTTAACTTATAACTAGAACCTTAATTATTAATTTTAAATAAATATAAGAGTTATATAATAATAAAATTTATATAGGAGTACTATATTAATAACGTTTACTTATTATTCTTATTATTATATATTTCTTATATCCTCTAGTTATTAAATATAGCTATTTTTAATCTTATTAAAACCTATTATAAAAAAGAGCTTAGTAAAAAGAATATAATAAATAATTTTACTATTATTAAAAAATAGTACTTCTTAACTTATTATATTATAGCTCGTTTACTTAGTTTAATAAGGGATAATATACGAAGTAATTAAAAAATAACTAGCCTATAGCTACTTAATATAACTATACTTTTTATTAATTTTATAATATTATTTAACTTAGTTATATTATTAAATAATATTACTAATACTAAATAAATAATTACTAATATTATTAAAGTCGTTAACTAAACCTTTATAACGTTTATTATTAACTAGTTAATTTTTAAAAAAACTAGCGATTTTTATAAGTAATTAAAGCTATTTATAAAGCTTAGGCCTAATTATAATACTTAACGTTTACTTTTTTATAAAATTAAAAAAGCTTTTAATAAGAAGTCCTTTTTATTAGCCTTATTTTAATAATAAGTTCGAGTTTTAAAAGCTAAATTTAAGTATATAGTTCTTAAAAAAAAAAGAGTATTTAAATAAACTTAAATATTAAGTTTATTAATATTAAGGATATAAAAAGGGCTTAAGAAGACATTAATAAGCGTTTAATTAGTCCTAATTAAACTATAAAGGTCGAATTACTTAGTAAGGGTAGTAATTATATTATAGTAGTAGTAGAAGGTAGTTAATTAATTAACTATAGTTAGTAGCGATGTGCCTGGACCTACTTTTGATAGGGTGGCCGAATGGGGGGGGTGGCCGAATGGGGGTGTTCTGACTTAGTACTTAACAGCCGTCCCATTGTCCCCAATAACAACACATGTCACTCAGTCAAATGTGCAGGCTGACTGCAGATGCCTGCAGTTGCCTGCGAGTCTATCAAGCCACTATCATACCCCGCAGATGATGCTTATAAAACCAATGGCCACACCTGGCTGCTGAGCTCCTGTCTCCTCCTTACAGGATACTCTCAGCTCTACATTTTGGTAGCTTCGATGTTCGATTAAGACCAGAAGCAGCGTGCACTCTGTAGGCCAAAGGTATAAGCCAAATGAAACTACATGTCGTCGCATCAACTAGATTAGGCTACTGAAACAAAACAGAGACTGTAAGGAAGAATCAAACTTATCTCAATGTAATATCTGACTGTGCTCCAGCTGCGACATGACGCCAGCCATGAAGCTGGTACGACAAGAAATGAACATGAAGAATCTGGACATGGAAATCTTCGTGGCATATCTAGACGCTCAATTTGGAGCCAGCAACTATCATTTACAGGTAAATAGAGTCAAACGAGTTTCATAGGTCAAGCCACACTGCTACAGATCTTCTAATAACTATAGGCGAAACGCGGCGGCTATGTCCTTGATAGTCCACGAAGATTATCGGGGTCAGAATTGGAGGACCTACAAAGCTCTACAGCCTATTCCAGCTTTATTGAAGAAAATGGGGAGTTGGAACGATTGCAGCGTGTCATGGGCAAAGGCAACAATGCAGGCAAACGAGGCAAGCTCCTCTCGATGGCTGAAACCTCTGGCGAGGATCATGACATCAGACGCTCTTCATTTGAACATCCATTACTTCCATCTGAGGAAGAGAGCATCAAGATACTCGACTCGGTACCTTCTCACCAACTTTCAGATGACACCGGTAATTGGTTTCATATAGTAGCCCCCGCACCCGGATCCACAACCATAGGAATTTCCCTTCATTGTGAGGGGGAGGAAAGATCAACGAGAGGCATTTACAGCGTTGAGATTGACTCTGGCGAATCTTCGAAGATATTTAACGTAAAAGGGGAACTATTGTCTAGTGTGGTCCAAACAGATCAGCCTGTTGTGAGGAAGGTGAGTTCAAGCGGTGGCACCCGTGTAGAGCTCGAACAATTTCTTTACAAGAACTAAAAATGAGACCAGTTCGCTATTAAGCAACTCAAAAGTTCAACCAGTCCGAACGACTTTTTAAGAGAATACAACGCGCTGAAATATGCTCAGTCTCTTGACCACCCTAACATTGTGGAGTTACTGTCGGTCTTCAAGGATGAAAGTGGAGGGGAGCAGCACTTCAACTTTGCATTCCCTCTGGCGCTGGGAAATCTCAAGCGAATGTTTTTGGGAGAATATGATGCAATTGCTGCGGTCATATCTCAGACCCCGTTCTTATGGCCGCAGATGGTCGGGCTCGTAAGTGCGGTGACGTTTCTGCATGAGACAGCCCACACGGCGCATCGGGACATCAAGCCATCAAACATTCTCATTTATCAAGACAACACATCAGGGTCACTAGTCTTGAAGCTTACAGATTTCGGCCTCGCAATTAATCTCACCAACGCGTTGACATGGCAAGAAGGCAGCGCCGCAGCAATGTCGGCACTAAATTATGACGCCCCGGAAATGAGATCTGCCTTTACAAAGAGTCGAGAAGGCAAATTCAAGGATTTGCCCTCACCGAAGCAGATGTTGTCAAACGACATTTGGAAGCTCGGCTGCGTGCTGACCGAACTAGCCGCTTTCATTGTCGGTGGATCGTCTGGTGTGAAAAGGTTCAGAAGTGCGATCACTACTGAAACGGGCAATATTCTATACGATTCATTCAACGACGTTCGGTTCGATGACGGAGAAAGGGTCAAGCCGGAGGTCATGGATTATCTGACGATGTTGAAACCCAGAAGTCGAGAAATTTCTCAAGTTGAGCCTATCCTCCACGCAATGTTAGATGATATATCGGTGAGACCTTCTTCTCGAGAAGTTTGTCAACTCCTGATCAACGTGAGTAAATTTCTCTGCAATCTACGTGATTCGTAGTTCTTAAGACTGAGCTCTGTTTTGCAACATTGGACCGAATCTTGTTCCCAACATCCTTCTGCCCTTCGGGTTGACCGTGGCTAATCTCTGTTCCCTGATTACAGAAAACGGGATTGGTCAAATACCCCTACCATGACGGCGCAAGACATGTCAGCCTACGGCCCGAAGAGTGGACTCCTGGGATACTCGACGAGTTGAGACTGAAAGTCGAAAGCAGCTTTACAAAGCCGATAGATTGGTCACCTATGCCGCCCATCAACCGCCCATGTCGGAAAGGGGAAGTGAAAGTTGTCTGGCAGGTAGGTTCGCCAGCCTGTGTCGGTTCATTACATTTCTCGACTGACGATTCATATCCATGTTTAGTATGGAAAAAGAGATCTTTCAGTTATGTTGTCCGAAGACGAAGCTCGACGATACATCCCTACATGCATCGCAACATTTCAGAATCATGGCCCAATGCTGCCCCCTTCTGACCATAGTACCAATACAAGTGCAACAACAATCATCTCTACCGCCACCCCCCCGACTCGAACCATGAAGGTACCAATTCGAAATACAGACATTACGGAACCGCGCCAGACTCAGTCGTTTTCTCAGCCAGTGTCGGCACGTATTCCACAAAGACCTTCCGTGGTCGCCAAGGAAGTGTACTGGTGTATGGACGAGGTCTTCACTGAGCCCAAAGAGACTTTATTACGTCCTGTTGCAGTCGACCCAGCAATCACTGACGAGACTTTCTACATTCTCACGAACCGCGCACTTGATAGAGCCAGAGGAGGCCTAATGAAAGGCTGGTTCTTGAGCCGGCTGTCGTGGAAACGTTGCGTAGGAGTGGTGTTCAAACAGGTCCGCTATGCATCCTTTTCCTCCATCTAGGAAGACATTATTGTTTCGCGTATCCAGAAACCGATATGAAACTTAAGTCATGGAAATAGTCAGGGGAACTAACATCTTCGATAGTTCCACATAGTCAAGACTAACAGAGACCAAGTGATCCTGGGGAAGATCGAACTTCCGCCACAGGCGCACCTTGAATATGAACATGGCATGCTGAATCCCGAGGATGTCCACATGAAGATAGCTGCAGTACAGATGGTAGCTGGTCTGATGGACCCAAAAACCGCCCGTGGAGAGAAGATCATGACGAATATGCTCCCCAAGAAAAAAATTCCGCCAAACTTGCAGAGGGCAATGGGCATGTGCGGTTGGGGAATCTACGCGCAAATGGGATTCTCGCCCAAGAGGATTCTATTGTGGCTTATTTTTTGCATGATCCTCATGTTGACATTTGCCATTGTCTGGTTAATTTGCATCAACAGCACGGATCTGCAGAACGCCCTTGTGCCGGCGACTATTGTGCTGACTACATTCACGATTATTTTAGGTGTGGCTCAGACTCTAGGGTGATGAGGATTCCGGATCCAGTGGATTTGTTCTACATACTGAGGCAAGGCCTGGAGGTGCATCTGAACTCAATGGACTGGCCTCGTTCAATATCGACGAAATGTGTGTGTGTACAGGCTCTATTAAAGCCCATAGTAGAAAAAGTCGATTCCATAGTTCAGATTATCCTCATTGGTATCGTTGGTATAGCATGGGTCTTGTCATCTTGAGACTTGATCTTTCCTTGTGAATCTTATTCCCAAACTTGACTAATCCTAGTGAGGCACACCCAAGATACCGCATCTGTCATGCTTCCCGATGATCAATCATCTCTGTGGCTTCCATTCTCGATACCCCTAAGCCTTTTCTGTCTCCTCCACGGACTCAATACCAGGAACACGCCAGTCGCAGCCGCAGGTACAGCCCCAGGAGGCATTCTCACAGTCGGTATGGCGCTGATCGTAGCGAAGCTTGCCGGAGCTGTCGCAGCGGTAGTTATAAGGGCGATACTCGCACCAGAGCCTGCTGATAGGGCAGACGATGTCGCATTCGCGAGTCTGGAGGACAGTATCCTGGGCCTTGATATTGATGGTGTCGACTCCATCTCTGTCGTTGAGGTCCTGACATGTCTTGTGGGGGTTCATGCCGGGGCCGGCAGCGACGCCAATGGCAAGGGCGGTAGCACCAGTGAGAAGAACTGTGATTTACTGTCAGGCTTTTTTCATGATGGATACTTGAGTGGATTTGAACAAACTTACCTTGAAATCTCATTTTAGAGGCTGTGCTATCTGTTTCTTGGTTGTGATTGATGATGTGAATAGTGGAAGGAGATCTCGTCAACAGGCAATGGCGGTGGGAGGTGAGATATCGAAGAAAGGTAGGGAGGTCTGAGAGCTACTGATTCAACGTATAAATACTCAAAGGGTATTCTGTGAAGGCGTTCGAATGCAAAAAACTGTCTTGTATCTCCAACTGACCGCCTTCGCTGCCTGAAAAGTTGTGTTGACTGAGTAACGACATAGGTGGAAGGAGCAAACGGCGGCCATCAAGTCCATATGCCTTTGTTCTTTCCTTGGAAAAGTCCACTATAAGATGACCAAAAAAACTCATTAAGGCATATATGCGATGACGATCATGCTAGCTCAGCTACGATACTTTGTCCACATGTATATCACATGTGTAACCATCGAGAACCCCTTGCAATCAATCATCAGCACGAACTGAACTTTGGTACTACCCAAGGGAGTGCAGGAGAAGCACGTTGCCAAGTTGAAGTAGGTATAGAGATGACTTTTGGCAGCTTGAAACTATTTTACTTAGGCAGTGACCGTTCGTCGGTTTGGCCAGGACAAGCCAGTTATCATGTGAGTTCTATGTCACGAGCGTCTTGAGGCACCTACCGATTTTGAACGGTGGATGAAATGATGGCATCTGAATTTGTCACACCAGCAGAGATCTCAGCATTCTCTCTTTGTCTGTGTTAGTAATAGATTGATGTTGGGCAGTATTTGCCAGGTACATGCGGAGCCACATTAAACAAACACTACAAACAGTGACGCGGCTAGGACACCCTCACAATACTTCAACATGATCACCGTCCGTACCTCTTCTACACCCTGCCTCAATATTGTAGTTCGAAGCTTCAACACCTAAGCGTACTTCAAGTTGCTGATTCGCTGTTGCACGTGCAAAGACAGTATCTCCGATCAACTAAGATACAATTGTCGTGTTCAATTTCTTCAAGTTATGTTCTGTCCGTTTCAATGCTAGATACTTTTTGCACCTCAAATAATGTTACAAGTGCCAGAAACAAATACACGCTATGTCCACTCTAATGCCCCGGTAGACCTATGTTCCACAAAACAAACCATCAACGCCTTTGCCCTCCAGACTTTTGTCTCTCAGCCTGACCAAGCCATGCAGTTTGCTCGTCTAACCGGCTGTAATGCGCATCAATCACCTCCTGGTTCAAGTAATTCAGCCTGTGACCACACCTCGTCCACTTGACGTCATGCGCCGTTGCTGAATCATCGCAGCATCCTCCCCAGCAGTCTCCGATTCGGTCAATGACCGACTGGAACTTGGCCTTCTCACTCCTCCGGCTCCGGTCGATAATGTTGAGCATCGTCGGAATTGCGACCTCGTGGAACAGGTCCGCGCAACCGTAGACCGATGACAGAAAAATAAAGTCGGCAAAGAAACGTCGAGGAATGTAGAAAATGTCTGACCAGCCTACGCAAAACTCCTTTTCCTCGATCGTGTAGCCGCGGTTCATCCGGATAATTTCGCCGTTGACGGTGACGGCCTTCTCGTTCCACTTGTGGTACCAACCCCACCATTGCGGAAACTTCTGCCAGTCCGTCATACACATGTACCGCGGTCCGTCGCCCTCGAACTGCCGTGTGTTGTGAGATGTCGGGAACCAGATGGACTCGCGGTTCTCATCGACCCAAGCCATCGGGTCGATCCAGGAGTCGAAGTGGAAGTACATCAACCCTTCGATATCGGGTTGCTCGTCGAGTATGAGCTTCATCGTCCTGGCGACTTGCATGTAAATTGTTTCGTGGTGTGGGTACTGCGAGTGCGTGAGATTGTGCCAGTCTTCGGGCTTATCCTCGACCATCTCCGGCATGGAGATGTGGACGGTGTGGTAAAAGGGCTTGTATTTCATGAGGAGAGGCACGCGCTCCATGCGCTTCGCATTCCAGCGAATCATTGCGAGCGTGTTGCTAAAGGGTGAGGCAGTGAGATTGCCAGGACCTGTCGAGATCTTGTACGGCTCTTGCTTGTCCGTGAAGGGTGTGATGATTTCGGCCGGGGGTGTTGAGCAGTGTCCGTCGGTGTCATCTCTCATCACGAGTCGGTACTCGGGGGTATGCGGGAGTTCGGAAAGTGTTGCATAGGGGATGATGCCTGCGCCGAGAAAGCTGGCAAGGGTAAGAAGACCGAACTTTGCTTTCTGCAATAGCGTTAGTATGCCTTGATTACAGTACTCCATTAAGATGACCGACCTTGTAGGATGGAGGCGGCGCAAAAGAGTTCGGCACGTCATCCACCGGAGACGAACTGATGTACTCTTTCAGGGGAGCATACTTCATGTATGCCAGCGAGGCGATGAAAATGAGCACTGTGCCGGGTATGAGGAACATGCTGTATCGAGACAAGAAGAAGTGCGCGGACACAAGCATCAACACAATACTTGTGGTGTCGTTGATGAACCATCTCACCCATGAGTCGACCCCTGTATAACGTCAGCAATCTTCTTCGAGAACCCCCAAGTGGGACGGTGTCTAAAACGTACTTTTCTGTGCAACCGTAGTAATCAGAGCTACAAGTGTGGTCATGAACACCACTGACAAGCCCTTGCTGTCGTAGCCGCCGAAGAAAGTGGGTTCGAAGGAGCTGTATAGTCGCACAAGTGCATGCACGAGCAGGTTGAGCATCGCACCGAAAGCTCCCAAGACAATGTTTGCGCCGTTCGAGCTCAACTCGGTAGCCTTCAAAAGCTTCTCGCTGTGGATGTCGGATAAGGCACTGAAGCTGGCCTGGGCGACAATGCTGACGTAGAGGGGAAGCTGGTATGTCGATGCCCTCGTGCGATGTTGTGGGTAGAACTGGGACAGTACCAGACCCGACGTCTACCCCTGTTTAGCAGCTGAATTGGAGTATTAGAAGCTACGCGAATGACCTACCTGGATCAAGAAAGCCATCCATCGGGTCTTGGGGCCCTTCAGTCCAAGAGCGGGCGTCGTGACTAGAGCTGCTGCGACCATGATGCCGCTCTTCGTGATGGAGACGGTGCCTGGATCGCTGACCAAATAGTTGAGGAACAACTTGAGAAAGAAATGTTAGCTTTTGCCTCATCTAATGTTGCGCCAGCGCCAAGTGCCAAGCGCTTTGACGTCGCATACCAAGTTGTTGCTGAGCATTTGCAGTAAAGCAATCCTCATCAGTCCGAATCTCAAGTCCGCGTCTCCCCACACATAACACCAGAGTGCCCTCGCGCCTCCAATGCGGGGAGCTTGTCGCGATAGCTTCTCCGCAGCGTACTCGCCAGACGACCGTCCGTCCTCATCAGCGCCAAGATCCAAGTCCTCCGATCCGTTGCCCAGCGAAGAGTACTCGGTGTTGGTATTTCGTCGGCGAATCTCGCGTTTCAAAAGCAAAGTCGCAATCAGGAACCTCAGAAATTCGGATATCGTTAAACTCGAAGATGGCGAAAAGTTGAACTGCCCTCGCTCGCGGGAATTCCAGAGATTGACCGCCGCGCCGACCTGGAGGAGCACCAGCCCGAGCGCGGCGAGACACGGGACCAGCCCGGCGCCACCGGATCCGGCTACCGCCAGCATTCGGCGGAAGATGGACCGGTTTACGGCCATGGCGACAGAAGAAAGAGAAAAGGAGTGTAAGGCGGCGGCGCGAGTTCGTCTCGATCGCTTTCCGTTGTGTTTTCTACCAGTTTTGACGAGAAATCATGATTTCGCAACCACCGCGAGTCGAAAAGAAGAGGACAGAACGCTTGGCCCTTTTTCCTCGCTGCGAAAATACGAGTCGTGGCGGGGGCGATCAGCGTCGCAAAAAAGGTCCTCTCGGCCTCCAGACAATAGCAGGGCTGTTCGCACGGAATCTGCTGGGGGCCAGGTTAAAACCGGGGACTTGACAGGGGACGAGAATCGAAATCGAGCTTGAATTCCCCAATCTGACCACGCCGCGGACGCCCCAGTACGAGATCGTCAGCGTTCAGCTTCGGTTGCGTGGAGCGAGTACGGATGTGGACGGCTCTCGAAAAAGGGGGGGTGGTGTTCCAGTCAGCGCGGGTGACTTCAATGTCGCGAATAGTATCATTGAAGAACACGAAAGCTGGCAAGATGGGAGGCACAATGGTTTTGTCTGTCCTTGAGCTCCATACTCGAAGCTTAATTTGCTGCTAATAAAAAGTATTTTAAGGATCTGAGGCAAAGCAGACCCAGGCAAAGGCATCCCCCTAACATTGCAGTTACAATTCTGGCAGCGAATTAATTAGCACGGCTGTCGCCTGTTTGCATGATCCCCGTCATTCTGGGTGTTGGACTGAACGCCAAGTGGACCGATGAGCTTTGGGAACATTTGGAAGTATCCGTTTGTTAAACCTTCCGGTGTGGGCGCCCGGCAGTGCTTGATTGCAGCTTTGCCCGATCAGTTAGGTGATCACGAAAGAGGAGATTCGACCGCAGTACATAAGCTACGGCGCAGCGCCAGGCTCGCGAAGTTGTGGCAGCGTGAAGGTCGATCCGGCGTTTAAAGAGCAAAGAATCTCTGCGCAAGGCACCAAGTTTCCAAAAGGCCAAAGTTGGCGCGCCGCGCGTCCTGTAACATCTTCTCCTCAACAAAGGTCCAGTCATGCGGAGTAAACTTCAAGTTGACAACCACACACACCAGGAAACCATCCGAGGCTACAGCTACTTGTTTCCTAACAGCTGTCTGGCCTTATGAGTGTGTGGAAGAGATGGGGCACGTGTTCGGCCCAAAGAACTAGCTTTTAACATGAGTCGCAACGGCTGTCACGGAACTGCGCATCTTCAAGGACACAGCCTGCGCCAGAAGAAGTGAGACCGGCTATCGAAATGTGGCCTGGCCGTGAGGGGCCACTCTCTTATTGGACCGTCTTATCACTCGGCGCCAGGATTGAGTTCCCAATTTAGGTCGTTTGGAGGGGCCTCCCGGTTCCCCTTGTTAAGCACGGTTCAGCAATGTCGTAGCCGTGACGGCACGCAACGCTGAGAGGGAGTTGC